CAACCTTAATTGATCATTAATAGGTAATTCTGTATTGTACTGTGCGTCTTCCTAAATATACAAAATTTGATAAAGATGTAGCGTAATACAATTGCAATAGTTCTGTTTCAATCTTTAATCCTCGTGTGGGCAACTAAGATCTGATTTTTAATCAATCACTGTATACCGTCTGGATATATATGATGTAAGAAAGTTGAATTTGCTGAAATAAATTAGAACAATCATTCGCTAAATATTAGAATACATTTCTCTAAATTCTCTAAATTGTGATATAAAAAATAAACCTGAAAAAGATATTATTTTACTGAAATTTTGAAGTTTTAACTTCAGTTTGTATATGTCTGAGAAAGCTGTAAGGGCCTAGGGGAGAGGCTTTTAGTTCTAGTATAGGATGCGACTGGTTAATCAGTCTATGTATTTTCAAAAACTACTTTTATCAGACTTCAAAATTCAATCTCTTTTCATTTTGGGTTTCTGTGCGTTCAGTGTTTTTCTATTCATAGCACCAACAGATATCAACTTTGAACTAAACAAATTAAAAGTACCTTATATATATATATATGCTTTGCACATAAAATGTAAATCTGTTGCTATACTTAATAGCATTTGGAATAGCGTGGTATGTCTGTATTTCCGTGTTTCGGGATATGAAAAGGTTACACAAATAAAGAATTAAAACCTGATTTTCAATTTGAATCGAGTTGAATGGAAAACAAGAAATGTTATTCGAGAATATAATATACAAACAAGGCAACAAAAACAACAAAACCAATCCCAATTACCTAACAATCGGAATGAATGGAAAATCGGAAATCATTATTTAGAAAACCATACACAAATAAGGCAAATATATACAACAATACAAAACCAACGGAATCCCGGGAAGGGAACATAAGAAAACATAATTCAGAAATCACATTTTTGTTGATGTTGTTCGACAGGAAATTAACCTAATAAAAAGCATTCTAAAAGTAAGTTTACATGTTGCAATTTATTTTTAAATCGTGAAACAGCTGGTTCTCTCCGAGATTACTATACTAATGTAAATAGTAATATCAGGTTTTCTAGAATGTTTGTGCTTCATCAAATAAAAATGGCTGCCTTTCCGGAACGTGTTTATAGCGCCGCTTCAAAGTACTAAAGTTGTGAATTTTCCTATTAGAATCGAAACATTTCTAAATCATGGCACGCTCTATGCTCGTTTTAAATTAGGTAAGCATTATATTTGACAATATTTTTAACCTCGATACCGACCGTGCTAGGCTGACCCTCATGGGTAGTCAAGGTCGTTGAAAAACCCCTAACGCTCGGTTTAAGGAACCTGGATATTAACGTCATCCATGTTAATACGAGCGCAGGCATGGCATGACAGAATTATTTCTTTTCAAAATTTACTCCCGCCCAAAACCGGGAGTGACGTTTTAATCGAACGCCACTGACGAGTTATGCGTACTAAATTATACGTATGGTTACAGGTATCAGTTTTGTACAGAGGTATTTTGAAAAGGTTTACCATATTGTGCCTTGTATTTTTGAAAGCAACGCCGAAAAAAAAACAGAGGCGGTTGTCGTCCTTCATTTAGCTACACATGTGTAACAATATAGGGTTTGATCTGTATACATCAATTAAGATATTTGACAATCAACTATGTGTAGCAGAGCTAAAACGTTGACAATGGAATCATATACAATTATGAGGACTACTAGAATGGTGCATCATACGGACCGGATGTAGACAACTAACAACTTAAAAAATTACATGTGGTCTTAATCGAAATTCGTCGTTTTTTGTTGTTATCTTATTCTCTTGTTGTGTTGTTTGTTATTGTTATTGTTTGAGTTTTTTTGCTCTCTTTGCAATCACTAAATTTCAGGTACAGTGCATGGCCAAAACTATTCGTCACTTTCAATTATTTGCTGTATATTTTATATAAAACTTTTTTCAAATATTGTGTGGTCATTTGCTGTATATTTCAACCAAATTAAATTGCATAAAATTATTATATAATCAGGAGAAAACAAAAACAAATTGATAACAAGATTTTGACCTAATAAACAATTCCGCGTCTTTCGACATCTTATTTGTTAAAATCCAAATATATAAATGCCATAAAAATTTAAAAAATGGGTTTTTGTATGAAATAACAAATAATGCTTTAGTTTACAAATCCTTGGAAATAATAGTTAAAAAATTGTTCTTCGAAAGCAACATCTCCAGATTATTTCTGTAGAATATGCTTTTGTCACTAACACAAGATTTTAATACTTTTTATATCATTCCAGATTTGAAGATTTTATAAATCAAATTATTATTCAGTGTCTCACCAGGGACTATATAAATAAATATTTATATATATTTATCTTACCTCCTATACATTTCTAGGAATATGATTGGTTAAAAGCGACCACGTGGAGACCCTGTATATTTCATATGGAGTTAGCTTCGCTCTCACCCCATATGGAATTTACTGACCCCATATATATCGCATTAGGTCACCAGCACACTATGTAACTAATAATATCTGGTTACACATGTTTTTCCACTTCTTATTTGTCTGCTTGAACCAATATTTAGATTCATGTGTACTAGTCGCAATTGCGTTGAACCTGTGGTCTGTTGTTCAACTTGTCGTTAGCACTTACTAGCCGTTAAAGTTAATCATATGATGAATTTAACGACAAGTTGAACAACAGACCCAAATTAAAGTATGACCTTTTACTATACTTCGTTAGATTTATTTGACGCTAGTCACGGTATTGGTGTTTAGTAATCAGCATGAAGAGGGGCGTAAAGTAGGGGTATCTGCGTGACGGAAGAACGCGAAATAAAATTGCCATTTCACGACGAACGAACGATTAAAAATTTCTTACACGTTGATCTTTTTACCGATTTCATGAAACACGGTGAATAACGAACCTTTTTCACGGCTGCACGTGAAATAAAAATGGCATAACACGTTGCACGAAAATAACCCTTTACCACCCTCCATGAACAGTTTTCTAAGTCAGATTTTTTTGGCTGGCCAAGTACTGACGGGTGGGGATAGATGGTGCTATCTCGGAGCTTGATCAATGTTTACCGGAACAAAGTGACTAGTTGAAAAGTTCCAACGGAACATATCAACTAGTTAGAAAGTTCCTTTTTGCCAAATTAGTCAAAACCGGAACTAACAAACTAGCCCAAAAGTTCCAACGGAACTTATCAACCAGGCAGAAAGTTCCATTTGGAGAATTGATGCAAAGTAAAAGCGCAACATATCATATTTGAACCTTTCAAAGGGAAACCAAGATACTGATTACAAAAGTCAAAAGGAACTTATCAACTAGCCACAAAGTTCCTCTTTGGCAAATAAGTCAAAACCGGAACTAACAAACTAGCCCAAAAGTTCCAACGGAACTCATCAACCAGTCACAAAGTTCCATTTGGAGAATTGATGCAAAGAACCACATGAGGAGGGGGATATTCTTCCCTCTCTTGAGGGTACTATGAATACTAAATTTGCATGATAATGCAACTTATTCCGTTTTATGTGAGCTATGAAATACAACTTAAATTTTGCATATTTGTCCCCAAAGAAACCCCTTTCAGCTAGTGCGTTGGGTATTCTTGTAAATTAATGATTTGCTCTTATATATACTGATACTCATTCTTCCCCCTCTTTCTACAAAAAGGACGAAATATGGTATATTCGGAACGATGTAACTAGTTGTTCTGTTCCGCCAGAACTATTCAATTAGCTACATTGTTCCGGGACTTTTCAACTAGCTACTTTTTTCCGGAACTTTTCGACTGCACTCGGAATAAAACAACTACTAGTAGTTGGAAAGTTCCATCGGAACGAAATAACTAGTTGAAAACTTCCGCCGGAACAAAGTAACTGACGGAACATAGTGGCTGTTACACAATGAGCCCCCCTTTGTCAAGGATTTATAACTTGACTAACATAATATACGTATTTGCCTTTGTCGATAATTTTCTTTATTATTTAGTTTGTTCAGAGACCTATAATACGTATGTCTCTGGTTTGTTTGACACAAGTCTACCACGAAAAATAACTTATAAAAATCCTACAGGAAAACAAAGAGGGACGAAAGACAAACAGACAAATAATAGTACAGATGACACAACATAGAAAACTAAAGACTTAGCAACACGAACCCCACCAAAAACTGGGGGTGATCTCAGGTGCTCCGGAAGGGTAAGCAGATCATGCTCCACATGTGGCACCCGTCGTGTTGCTTATGTTATTACAAATCCGGTAAATAGTATAATTCGGTAGGTCACATTCGTGAAAAGGGAAGGGTATTGTAGTTACGACATAAGGAACATATCCGATATCATCTGTGAAACGGTTATTCCATAACGGTCAACCAACTCGTGATGGCGTCCGTAAAATTTACGAAGGGATGATTTCAACTTCACCATTTGGAACTCTTGGTTTAATAGCTTCCTTGTGAGCAGCAATCCTCTATCAAGGAAATCATGATAGGAAATACAAGCCCGGGAATATCGTATCAATTGGGAGATATATACTCCGTATGCAGGCGCTGCTGGAATGTTGCTACATAGAAATGGAAAGTTCACAATTGGGAAGCCAGGCTGAAATCATCTCTTTTGTCGTAAAGTTTTGTTTTCAACCGACCCTCATTATCAATTTCGAGATGTAAGTCAAGATATGAGGCAGACTTAACTGTATCTGTAGTATCCTTTATCTCTAGTTCGATGGGATAGATTCGTTCAACATAGTCACCAAATTTTGTATTATTTAGTGAGAGAACATCATCTATATAGCGGAACGTAAAGTTAAAGGATATTGCTAACTTCTTAACAAGTTATGCGATGGAACAGAGAAATATGATATATCTCTGGATGAAACCAAGGATTTATAACTGACAAATATACGTTTTTGATGAAATGAAAAATTTGCCAAGTGTAGCGTTTTCATTTAAATTTTGCCGCTGCGAAACTTCTAAAACAAGGGGAAATACATTTAATTTAAACCGGAAGATGTGTTTTGCACAGCTGTTACGGTGTTATTATTTTGACTCAGGCAGAGTTTACTGATCTAGGTCTTAAAAGATTAGCAATATGTAACATGATAACGCAGAGAAAGACATATAAAAATTCCGAAAATAAATATAACATTTCATGAACTTATCCATTTATCTGGGATGTGTACTTTTAGAGCTGTTGACAGCAGTTGATATCAGGATGAGCCAAGCAGCAGATCAAATCCCCGGAATTGGTCATATTCGCAGTCCATTGTTACGTTCAGTTTACAATAAAATGAGAGAGGATGAAAAACAAAAGAATAATCCCCACGATAACGTATGTTTTAGCGAGAAATAGAGCCACTTATTATTAGAAGAAAAAGTGCAGGGGAGATAATCCAAACCTTTTAAAACACATTTTCAAAATTTGTGAACAAATTTAATCTTTTCACAGAAATGCTAGGATTAAAACTGTTTTTAAAATGCTGAAATGTTGATTATATGTTTCTTGTTTTCATGAGAACTGTTTTAAACTTCTGTCCAAACATGGGACAAAGTTAAAAAAAAGGTTCTGATAATCTAGTCCAAACCAAAATATACCAGAAACAATGTGTTCGACATGTTAGAGTAAATAGCCAGGCAAAGATAACAAAAAGAAGTTTTACTTTTTAATCATTTAAAAGGAATTATTTTATTTAACCTTATCTATTGTGTTATGAATCTGGGACTAATAGATCAATGTATTAGTCCCAGTATAAATGAACATTTTTCAATATAAATATAAAACCTTCAGTCTGGTAATTTTGAAGATATTGTAGAATATGGAGTGATTAGCTTAAAGACTTTTTCAAAATTTTAGTATGTGGAATGATTGAAAGCTTTTACCAGTTCTGAAACTTGTGGAAATAATTACTTTTATTTCATATCGGTTAAAAATTATCTTCTCTTATTGGATAACAAGGGGCCACATGACATTCTTTATTCTTTAGTAAAACATTCCATCGGTCTTTAACAGAAAAAAACAGAGCAGAAAACCAGTCGTTAACGGACTTTTAAATGTTAATGACCAGTGTGGCATGGTTTCTCTGTTTAGAGTGATGTCCCTTTAATAAAACGCAATCACGATTCAGACATTTGGAACATGGATGAACTGGAAGGCACGTCTGCTACAGACAACTCAAATGATCGTTTTGCCGTACTCTCCGATGCTGATAGAGACAAACTACTCAGCAACAAGAATTATAAAATTATAGAAAACTTTATTTTGTATTCATATACTGAAAAATTGCACTTAAATGAATGGCAGTGACTTATAGTTATCACTATGACTGGTCTTCACTCTTTCCTATAGAAATTGTACAATAACTCGAGTTTGCTTTGAACAATTTGAATTTATGAGAATTTTTTAAAAACATGGTTCCTCAATTAAATATACATAATAGTGTTACGACCAGAAAAATTGACTTTTAAATGTAGCCAACAAAAGACACAAATCAATGATAAAATTTAACAAGATTTATTATACACAAGTTTACAAGAAGTATTACACAAATAGTAATGTCAACATAACTGTCAAAATATGAGTCCAATCTTTTATCTTTTCTTTATCTGGAAATCATCTCGGAATCCACAGAGAATGTTACGTCCAATAGGTCACAATCTAGTATGATGTAGTTTGTTTATAAAAAGTGTCAATCCAACTGCTGAGAATGTTGATGTCTATCGATGTCTAAGTCTATGTCTAACTTTAGGGTCTACATACTTATATATATACTTATAACGGAAACTTCTAGATAACGGTAGATGTTTAATTTACGCATCTTTTGTTATGATCATTCTGGAAACGTTATGTAAGTGAAATAGAAAGTTCTAATCATTCCATGAGTATCAATGATTGTTCCAGTGATTTCTAAACTGCATAGTTGTAACACAATGTGTATTATTTTGTACACAATGTAAAAAAAAAATAATGTAAACATTCTTAGGCCACACAAAACAAATTAGGTCAACTTAATAAATATGATAGTTACAATATCATAACAATAGTTATTGAAGAACTGGTCATTATCGTTGGTTATCTCAACAAGATTGACCAATGATAATCTGTTTATCGCTATTTTACCTATGAAGACGTTGTTAATTTCCTTGACAACGGCATGTGTTCCCTTAGTTTCTAGCGATAATTTTCATATCACTCAACTCCGTTTTCATATCACTCGACCACTGAGAACGGAAATTATCAGTCAACAAGATCAAAGGAAAAATTCGTAAAATAGCGATAATGACCAATTCTTCAATAACTATTATATAATTAAGATTTTATATTGATAATGCAAGATTGAGTCAACTGTCAACACAATCACGCGGAAAAGAGTTTTAATATGATTTTCAAAAAATGAACACATGTCCATACTGATACAATGTACTGTAGATGAACATGTAAGTCAAGAACTAAATCACCCAGAATCTAGATGTGACAACAACAAAAAAATCCTAAATAAAGAGAAAACTTGACATGATTAAGTGATGTTCCTGCCCCAACACGGCAAACATGTGACAGATTTAAATTAGTTTAGTGAGCAGTATTACACTACATATTATTTTGATCACTGTGAAAACAAAATATACATTGTACATCTAGAAAAATTACATTGCTAATGCAATGTAGTGTACAAAGTAAAAACATAGCTACATGAACAAAGGTGAAGTTTACTGCAACAATGCTGAAAGCATGCAAGCTAAAAAAAAGTGACCTGTTGATAAAAAAGATCATACCTCAATATATTGTTATGCTTTCTTCACCCTACAATCATAATACTTCAATGTTTTGCTGGAAAAAAATTAAATTTGTATTGAACTTAAACTAATAAGTAAAATTATTTATGTTCGTCAGTTGTCATATAAAATGAAAACATTACTGTAAACCAGCTAGTTTTAGTGAGAGATTTATTAACACCACTTTTGCAAATAGAAAAATAATGTGAATTTAGATTTTTGCAAATTTAGATCTATTATACATGTAACTGAGGAACTATAAATAGAAATAAAAAATGTGTATACGATTTGATATTGAAGTATGATGCCATTTTTATGTAATATGAATAAAAGTTAGAAAGTCTGGTTTAATTGCTGTGAACTATAGTGCTAAATGGAGGTGGAAGGATAGCTTTTGACATAGAGAATCAATTTTGAATAGCATCTTATACCTATATAAAATAAAAAAAGTAATTTTTTCCAAAACTTTTGGGCCAATTGTTACCAAATAATGATATGTACATCTACAAATTATGCACAACAACAGTGCAAAATTTCATTATCCTCTTACTTGTACTAAATTTTTTCCAAAATTGATTGGCCAATTTTCACCAAAGAATAATTTGCACATCTATATATGAGGCACAACAACTGTGCAAAATGAAAAAGTGAAAACTATAGGACTCCCTCATCCGCTATGCAAGGCCCTAATAATATGAAGGTATTTGGTGTCTGTAACATAGTTTTGTCAGTTTGGACATTATATAAAGCATATCTGTTTGCTGGTCTCTTCGTTTTATTAAGCTCATAGCATATGTTTTATCCATTCATGTTTTATATGTACATTTCTAATTTTGTATTCTACATGTTCTATATCTGAAGATACGAAAACTTAGCACCAAACAAATGCAGGTGAAGTTACAAAAGGAAATTGTCCAAAAAAGCTGTAAATATGTATAAAAATCAATAAAAGAGGGCTCAAGTTAAAGACCATTTGCTGAGACTTCTATGTTATTAAAAAATATTGCATAGAAGGTTAATAGGACTTACCAAAATATTGGATAGACTACATCAACCACCAACACAAATCATGGAAAAGAAAGTTTATTGAAGAATTATTGTTGTGATCAAAATTATTTAAATGATTGAGTTCAAAAAAGTTTTAGGTTAAAAAGAAACTCAAGTAAATAAACATATTTTATTGAAATTGATTTTTATTTTTTTAAGTGGTATACAGTTGATCTGTCGAAAGTTCCAGAAGAGATTTGTGCAAAGTTTTTACAGTTTAACCAGGATGAAGAAACAAGCCAGTTCCTAAACCAATGTTATGAAAAATCTGATTGGTTATTTACTCAGCTAGGTCATTCCTTTTGTAAATCCGTACTTGGTTGGTTCATGTCAAGCACCTCAATTAATGGGTAATGCACTCTATTTAAACACTGTCTATACAACCATGGAAGCAGTATATGTCAATATACTACTTCCATGATACAACAACGTATCTTGAAATAGCATGTCAAGTGAAAGTAGATAACTATGACCTACTTATTATTTTTTTACCTTTGAATGTAGTTATGATTTACTTGAATCATTTGCAAATATTGATAATGATATTCCGTATTGTTACATGGTATAGACAAAATTGTACTTAATTCATATCTATATTTTTAATTTATGGATTATATAATCATTCTTCAAATTATGTTTTTCATTACTCCTATTTATCTTCTCTGTTAAAGAACTTGTTAAAAAACTTGTTTTTATAGTATAAGCTATACATTTATAAGAGTTTTCATAGTTATATATTTATAAGTTTAGACCATACATGTACCTGAAGCTTGCTCTCAAGATTAAATAGTCATTTGGTAATAAAAATCTTTTTTTTCTTTAGATTACTGAAAAGAGGATCAATGTTTGTATTTTCTGAAGATCAGCTAAGGCAGATGTTACATATAGCACCAGACTGGAAAGGAAATGGGTTACTAGATCTAGGTTAGAGAAACTTAATAGGACTATTCCCATGTAACTAAAAATGAAGTAGTGAAAGAGAAATTTATTATGCTTGCGTAAATAAGGGGAAATGTGGTATATACATCAATGAGAGCAGCCCAACAACACAAAACTCAAGACATCTTTAGGTCAACATGCAGTCTTCAACAACACACAAGTATCCATACAATATGTCATGCTCTAAATTGCCTAGAGTCTAGGAAAATGTGAATTTATTTAACATAGACTATCAATGATATTACAGCAATACCATTCCATAAACTATGGATGAAATTAAGATGTAACAAACACAACCACTGAAGTGGGTTAAACTAGTTTTCTGAAACCTCAATCAGTAGACAAGTAAACAATGGTAAACTACATAAATGACAAAAACATTCATATGTATCAGACAACAACCACTGGTAAGAAGCCCAACTGTGTTCAAGCACATTAACATGTGGCTGTGATAAACTCATTTTTTGAGATCTCAACTTGTAGATTATTTGCTAGTAAGTTGCCAAGGGTATCATCTTCCTAGCAGTGAATGTTCAGTCATAGGCCATTATTTATCACATGCATCTAGATTCTCAGTCTTGTGAGTGAGTTACATTATTTTTTCACTATAGACATTTGAATATGTTATTAGGTTATTAGGTTGCCCTGCTTTGGTTTTATAGCTACCCATGAATTTATATGTCCAAATTTTAGCTAATGGGTTCATCATGCAGGAAAATATAGAAATCTGCATAGAATGCATCAGAATATTACATTTAACTTGCAAGTTTTTTTTCTAAATTACAGGTGCTGGTGATGGAATGGTTACAGATATAATGGCAAAATTTTACAATGTAGTTGATACTACAGAAATGTCACCTACAATGGTCTGGAGACTAAAGGAGAAAGGATTTAAGTAAGGTCTCTTGCAATTTAATCTTCAGTTTGTAGCCTATGGAAGATAACTCAATCAAGTCAAGTTAAATAACTTTGTTAATCAAACAAAAAGTTATCAATCAGTAGACAATCAAGAAACTTTTCCTGTTCATCTTTTAGTAGATTTTTAATTGCAAGAATTGAAAATGTAAGTTATATAAATTAAGATGCTCATCATGTCCTATTTTTTAAATGTAAAAATTGTAATTTGCATGAATTTTGAATTAACAGTAAAATAAAATCGTTATATTCTATCTTTTTTTTTTCACAGCGTGATTCCAGTCGACATGTGGGACAATGGTGCTGTAACTTATGATTTGATTGGTTGTTTAAATTTGCTAGACCGATGTGATAAGCCAATGAAAATCCTTCAGTCAATACACAGATTACTTACCCCAACAGGAAGAGCTATTGTGGCTGTTGTGCTGCCTTTTGAACCTTATGTTGAATTTAGTAAGGATATTTATTTAAGAGAATGTGAGAGTATTTTACACCTGTCCTTTCCTCTTCAAATCCTCAAAACAAGATTTTTCTTGGTGCAGCTAATTAATGTTTATTAAAAAAAGGACTAATTTAGAAATCATTGATTGGTCCCTGTGTGGTCTTAAACAAGAACAGACAGCAGCTTATAAAAATAGTTTACAAGTATGGAGGTTGAATTGTTTATACATTGCATTTTAGTAAGAGAAGACAAAATTTGGTCCCTTGTCTAAATACAGAGAAGGGAAAATGGACACATTAGGTGTTCTTTCTTAAAAGGGCTATTAGGCCTACATTATTTGTCAGATTATGAAAATAAAGGTTTTATATCTGACTGCAAAGTGTCTAGACAAGTTTCTAAAATCAGTGTCAGTCAACTTTTTTAAAGAGAGTAATGCCCCTTTGAAATGTAAATTTTATGGAAAAATTGCATTGTAAGTGCTCTCAATTTTATGAAATTTTTTGTAGAAGGTTTAATTCTGCAATGTCTTTGATGAGTTCAAAGTCAGTGCAGATCAACTATTTTTATAGGAGTGATGTCATTTGGAACTGTAATTTTAATATAAAAATTGCATTGTAAATACACCTTCATTACATTTCGGAGTGTTAGACTCGTTTTCCGTTAGGAAAATATGGTTAATAATTTGGTGTTGTATTTCATTCTGGTTGTTGGTTTAGTAGGCAGGTGTTTAGGCCTTTGGATTGCTCATTGACAAGCTGTTTTCTTGAGGACTGTTCAACCTATGCTTTTCTGAATTTTCTTATCGCAAGATTTAGATCAAATTTGGATTTTTTTTTTACCTTTGAGGTGTAGTTGTTTTTACCTTTGAGGTTTAGTTGATTGATTTAAAATGGCATTCTATGTCTATTATATTTTTAAATTTCAATATGTTTTCTCATGACAGAAGGGAGGTCAATAGACATAAGAAGATGTGGTATGAGTGCCAATGAGACAACTCACCATCCAAGTCAAAATTTATAAAAGTAAACCATTATAGGTAAAAATACGGTCTTCAACACGGAGCCTTGACTCACACCAAACAGCAAGCTATAAAGGGCCCCAAAAATTACTAGTGTAAAACCATTCAAACGGGAAAACCAACGGTCTAATCAATATAAAAATGAGAAACGAGAAACACTTATGAACCACATCAAAAAACAACAACTACTGAACATCAGATTCCTGACTTAGGACAGGTGCAAACAATTGCAGCGGGTTTAAACGTTTTAATGGTACCAAACCTTCACCCTTATCTGAAACAATCGTGTAACATCACAAGATAGAAAGACACACTATAAAATATCAATTGAAATGGCTTAACTCAATCAAAAGACATATTAACACCAGTGAACATACACTGAACAAATAAGTTTGATCTATGATACAATGTAAATACAAAATAAATAAACTAAGGGAAGAATAATTAAAGTAACATGTTATACCGCTCAGGGCTTCCAAAATTTCCTGACGACAGCCGGACATTTTTCAAAGAAATATTTTTGACGGTTAATGATCAGCTGGATACTTAAATGTAACTGAGAGGATGCATTAATTGATATATGTGTCTAAATAATTAGTAGTGTTATATGCAATAAAATTATTTATAACTGTTTTGTTTTCTTCATTCTAAAAATAAATAAAATATTATCCTCGGTATTGTGTCATTTTTCTGTGTATCGTAATACAGTAACCATTATTGCATCAATCAGCTTCAGTACCTGACTGTTCTCATGTTTTTTTTCTGTTTACATAATCTATCTTCTCTCTGTGAGTACTTAACACTTTGTAAATTAAGGCCATCTTATTTGAAACTGTTGATGTTGGCTTTAATTGCAGTACAACTTGATCATCAATACACGTGATACTTTTCTTTTTGTGTATTGATTACCTGACCACGTGACTTTTACAACTGATGCGGTATTTATAGATAACATTGAGGAGGCCCAATGAAGGATATTGTTTTAAACCGTGTAAAATCTACTGAACAGTGATAACATTTTTCTTTGTACAATGATAAGTACAAAATTAAATGTTTTTGCGTAGCCAGATCAGTTGACTCGTCGATCATAATTCCCACGGCGGGACTTAACTTTACGTCGGACATCACCTCTTTCTCTATAACATCGGAAATTGTATGAATAAATTCGGAGGAGGCATTGTTCTCTTGATATAATTTAGAAGTGATCACGGCACCATTTAACTTAGTTAAATCATTTATTGACTGAAATTTGTCCATTGGTAAGTTTTCTTTAGCAATAAAGTAAGCATTACGGAACAAGGTGCACATTGCGCCGTTGTCAGTCTTTTCATGAACTTTCTCAAATACTGATACAATTGGATTACTTTTGGAAGCTGTCTCTAATTTAAGAGCTTGAATGTGGTCATTGCTATTAGCATGCTCTACAACGGCTGACTTTCGAAAATTTGTCGAACCAGGCTTAACAAAGTTATTTTTAAGTTTATGTTTTTGACAAATGTCACAAAACATGGCATTTAGCATACTGTCAAATCTTAACCATAAAAACAGTTGTAACCATTTATGAATAAAGCTTCTAGCATTTTTAGCAGATTTCGAATTTTGATCGGAATCGTCACGTTTACGTTTGCCCATGATGGCAGATGTGTAAAGTTCAATTTGAGACAAAGTCTTTATAACAGTCGGAGATTGTCATGATTGGATATTATTCTTTATGATTTTAATTATAAAAACAGTTTTTAATATGAAAACAAGAATAGAGAACGCCCCCTTATTTATTGGACAACTCAGCTTGGTATAGTTTTTCCTATATATTTTAGTAAATTTTCCCCTTGAGAGTACCCCAGTATTTAACACGATGTACAGTGTTAAATAAAATAATATATATCATTTACAAATATCCTTATTTGAAGAATATCTTTTAAATATCAGGATACTTTTTTAAACTGAATGCTCATTTAAAATAATATCTATAAAGCGTAATTAAATAGGATGTTGTTCCATACACGCTTACATGTTTGACCTCGTTTACCTGATTACCTTTATGTACATTGTTATGCATCATTAATTCTATTGATAAAGACAAGCTAAGGACACCTCATCAAAGGTAACAAACCTGTAATCAGTGAATGATTTATGGCTTCAATATAACTTATTGAAGGGATAATTGTTTGACAGCTTGTTGTTATTTAAATAAAAGAAAACGTGTTTTTTTCTACTTTTTATTGATGTACACAAGCTAAAGACCAAGCCGTACATTTATGTACCCAGAGGATTAGACTAACTGAGACACTTCAAAGTATCTGAAATATGCTGCTTCTGTTTTATTAAACCCAATTATGACCGAAATAGATTGCCACAATTATAAACTAAAATGCCCAAACGGACATTTTTATCGATCGATAGTTGGTAAAAATTGAAATGACCGTTTCATGAAAATGCCTTGAATAACAAAATGTGGCACACCAATTCTATTTGACCGTTTGAGGCTGAGAGCAGCCGGTCTTTTTATGAAAGTTTCGGTCAAGTCCGGAATATATGACCGTTTTGGAAGCCCTGATACCGCTGTGAAATGTTAAACAATTTTAAGAAAAACAATATGCTTGAACAAAAATATCAACCATTTGCAATTACTTTAAACACAGGTAAATGAAAATAATTTTGTTGTTAGGTATACATGTACAATTCAAATAGAGAAAGGAAATATTTTTACAAAATAAATAATTTTGATGTTCATGGTATGAAGAAGTGAAAATTTATAGTAATACCAAACACTTATCAAAGCTGGTATATGTTTGTTTTAACAATTAACACTTTTGCTCAAAAGATAAAAAAAAAACCAGCAAGGGTCACCTTTTTATTTTAGAGAGTTTTGCTGCATAAAAATGAAAATTCTATGGAAAAGAACATTTATAGTGCTTTCAAGCATTTGTTGTCATATTTTTATGGAATTTATAGCAAAGGATTAAGTTGGCAATGTCTTGAATGAATTAAAAATACCGTGATCAGCTATTTTAGAGGACTTGTGTCCCTTGAAAATGTAAGTTTTGTGGAAAATTTTAATGTAAGTGCTCTCAAGCTTAGATTTTATATCTGATATTTCTTAAATATATCTCAAAGGGACAATTATCAAAATGACCATTGATCAAATATTTTCAGTGGAGTTAAATCCAAATTATTCCCCTTGGAAATGTAATTTTATGAAAAATTGCATTGCAAGTGCTCTCATGCCTGCATTTCTTGTCAGATTTTTATGAAAGGTTGGAGTTACATCAAATCAATTGACAGATTAATTTTATTCCTTAATCAAATTCATACAGTTTACAAGATGCCATTGACATGTCTGCAATTAGCATATTAGCATATTAGGATTTGTATGAATGGTTTTTGTCGAGCCTGCGACTTTTGTGGCAGAAAGCTCGACATAGGGATAATGATCCGGCGGCGTTAGCTAACTTCTTAAAAGCTTTATATTTTAGAAGGTGGAAGACCTGGATGCTTCATACTTTGTATTTAGATGCCTCATGTTACGAAGTTTCCGTCAGTCACATGTCCAATGTCCTTGACCTCATTTTCATGGTTCAGTGACTACTTGAAGAAAAAAAGTTAAGATTTTTTGGAATGTTAAATTCTCTCTTATTATAAGTAATAGGATAACTATATTTGGTATGTGCGTACCTTGCAAGGTTCTCATGCCCGTCTGACAGTTTTCACTTGACCTCGACCTCATTTCATGGATCAGTGAACAAGGTTAAGTTTTCGTGGTCAAGTCCATATCTATAAGCAATAGGTCTACTATATTTGGTGTATGTAATGATAGTAAGGTGTACATGTCCAACTGGCAGGTGTCATCTGACCTTGACTGCATTTTCATGGTTCAGTGGTCATAGTTTAGTTTTTCTGTTTTGGTCTGTTTTTCTAATACTGTATGCAATAGGTCAACTGTATTTGGTGTATGGAAATATTTTACGATGTTCATGTCAGTCTGGCAAGTTTTATTTGACCTTGACCTCATTTTCACGGTTCATTGCTCAATGTTAAGTTTTTGTGTTTTGGTCTGTTTTCCCAATACTGTATGCAGTAGGTCAACTATATTTGGTGTATGGAAATATTTAATGATGTACATGTCAGTCTGGCAGGTTTTATTTGACCTTGACCTCATTTTCATGGTTCATTGCTTATGTTAAGTTTTTGTGTTTTGGTCTGTTTTTCTTACACTTTAAGCAATAGGTCACCTATATTTGGTGTATGGAATGATTGTAAGGTGTATATGTCTGTCTGGCAGGTATCATCTGACCTTCACCTCATTTTCATGGTTGATTGGTCAATGTTCAGTTTTCCTGGTTAACTTTTTTTCTTGGATACCTTAAGCAATAGGTCAACTATATTTGGAATGATTTTAATGTGTACATGTCTGTCTGGCAGGGTTTAAATGACCTTGACTTTATTTTCATGGTTCATTGGTCAATATAGAATTTCCATGGTTTGGTCTGTTTCTTTTATACTATAAGCAATAGGTCATTTATATTCTGTGTATGGAGGGATTGTATTAAAGGTGTACATGTATTTCCGGCTTGGTTTATCTGACCTTGACCTTATTTTCTTGGATCATAAATGTTAATGTGATACTTGTAGTAAAACTTTAAATGTAGGACTATCAACATAAAATCAATGGTCAGTATAGTAGGCGAGACATTTCAGCGTGTGCACTCTTGTATTAGCATTGTTTGGGATTTGTTTGAAAATTAGCACAGGTAAAATATTTTAAAGAGAGTTAATGTATGGAAAACTGCATTGTAAGTGCTCTCAAGCCTATATTTTTTATGGGATTTTTATGAAAAATGTAACGAAAATAAAAGTGATTTTTTTTTTGAGTAATTGTCATTGGACCAAAGTAAGTACATTTATAAAAAGAACAACTTTCTACCTTGATGTGCTATTCTTTTGACCATGCAGTGTTAACAAACCACCTATATTTCTCCTGTTAAAAAATCTACTTTAGTGTTAAAGTATTGAAACTAGACCAACGTCATCATGGAAATCGTCTGTATGTTATGAGAAAAAAAATTGTTTGTGAAAGAGATGCAAATAAAGTTGTAAAAATATAATTTTATTTAGTCAAATGATTAAGTCTCTTTTTACAACCTCAAATGTTTCCTTTCAGATTCCTCAGATCATAAACCTATAGAAAGTCTTTTAATCAAAGGGAAGACATTTGAAGAACAGGCTGCTAGTTTTATAACAGATGTGTTCCAACCATTAGGATTTATTGTAGAACATTTTACAAGACTGCCTTATTTATGTGAAGGAGACTTGAATCAGTCATTTTTTGTCTTAAACGATGCAGTTTTTGTGTTAAAACTGAAGGACAACGGGTAATAAATGATTTAAAATTATTAGAATTTATCTAATTTTTAACCAAACTGTCCCTAAATCTTCAAAATGGAGTTTTTTTTTTAAAACTGTGTTGGATTACAGGATTTATTTTTAGTTGTAATTGGCTATTATCTTTAAAACAGCTATAGATATAAAGATTGAAATCTGACAAGGGCAAAATTTTTTAGATTGTTGAGAACTGGTTGGCAGGCGGAGTCATCAGACAGTTTTTAAACTAGATACCTCAATGATGATTGTGGCCAACTTTGGTGAAATGTAATTTGACCAAGTACTTTAAGAGAAGATTTTTGTAAGATATGAGGAGTTGGCTCTTTTAAAATGCTTTCAGAATATCAAAAGAAAAAGTACATTTTTGTCGAGCCTGCGACTTATGTCACAGAAAGCGAGACATAGGGATAGTGATCCGCCGGCGGCAGCTGCAGATACGGAGGCGTTAAAAACTTCTAAAAAGCTTAATATTTCAGAAGGTAGAAGACTTGGATCCTTCATACTTTGTATATAGATGCCTTATGTTATGAAGTTTCCGTCGGTCATATGTCCATTGTCCTTGACCTCATTTTCATGGTTCAGTGACTACTTGAAGAAAAAAAGTTAAGATTTTTAGTATTCTTAATTTCTCTCTTATTATAAGTAATAGGATAACTATATTTGGTATGTGCGTACCTTGCAATGTCCTTATGCCTGTCAGACAGTTTTCACTTGACCTGGACCTCATTTCATGGATCAGTGAACAAGACTAAGTTTCCGTGGTCAAGTCCATATCTTAGATTCTATAACAATAGGTCTACTATATTTGGTGTATGGAATGATTGTAAGGTGTACATGTCCAACTGGTAGGTGTCATCTGACCTTGACCTCATTTTCATGGTTCAGTGGTTAAAATTAAGTTTTTGTGTTTTGGTCTGTTTTTATTTTTGCGGTCATATATTGGTATGACGTTGGCGTCGTAGTCGTCGTCGTCCGAAGACACATTGGTTTTCGCACTCTAACTTTAGTTTTAGTGAATGGATCTCTATGAAATTTTACCATAAGCTTCAATACCACAAAAGGAAGTTTGGGATTGATTTTGGGGGTTATGGTACCAACAGTTAAGGAATTAGGGGCCAAAAATGAGCATTTTTGTAACTTCCAGACATAACTTGTGTGTTAGTGTATGGATCTCTCTGACATTGTACCACAAGGTTCCATATCACAAAGGGAATGCTGGGATTGATTTTGGGGGTAATTGCCTCAAAATTTTAGGAATTAGGGACCAAAAAAGGGGCAAAAAACAAGCATTTTTCTAGTTTCATGACATAGTCTAGTCAATTTAGTGAACAGCCTGCAACTAATTGCAACACAAAGTTTTTCTCTGAAAAACAAGTCTGTTACTATCTATGAACAACATGCTAAAACTATACAAAAATATATTTTGCAGAAAGTGGTGTAATTCATGTAAACATTTTGTAGTAAAAGTAAGGTTATATGAGTTGCCTCCCCTTATTTGCCAAAGTTGAAAAAAATAAATTTATACAAAAAATGATCTGTACTTTTTATAACAGTTGTAGTAATACAATACAATACATGATTATCTCAATTTAAAAGAATAATATTACAAATGCATCACTTTCCTGTCTCAAAATTTGTATATTTGAATAAAGATAAAGACCGAGATTCTGTTCTGCTATTTTACAATCCAAGAATCTAATTATCCACCACAGTGTTGGTATGTAACCTATTATAAATGGAAATCTGTACTGAGTTAAATTAGCCAACTTTGTCACAATCTTAATCGGTATTTGAAAGAATTCTGCCCCTGTGTTAAAGGCACGCACAGTTAATTTATAGTTGAGGGAGGGGTTCTCGAAACACATGTTTTGTCCTTTATAAAAAAAAAATATTATTGCAAGACTTAACTTTTGAAATTCAAAGTCTTTTATGTATTTTTTTCCACAACTATATAAAGAAAACTTTTTTTTTTTTCATTTTTCTTCTTGAACAAACATGTTAAGATTTAGAATCCAACAATGTTTTCATGAAAAAATAAGAATGATGAGTGTAAAGTGATTGTATGTTTAATATTTTTTCACAAATGAAAATTTCAGGCTCCTCCAAACAAATAGCTACTCATGTAATTAGCGACGATCTCATTACTCACACACCAGCTTTGGCTGTAACACTGAATCAACTTTTCATTGGTTGCTAATTGGATGTGTACTGATTTATATTGTAGTCGGTGCCAACAGAATATACACCTATTGAGTGTTTGTGAGGGTAATAGCAAGTTTGTTGTCCCTGAGATACCAACTATTGCTTGAGGCGAAGCAGAGGGCAATAGTTAATATCAAAGGGACAACAAACTTGCTATTACCCTCATAACCAGTCAATAAGTGTTTTATTATACCGAACAAACCATCTTTCTAAAAAGTATCTGAAAGAAAAGAAAAATGTCACATAAACAAAATGAACTATAAGTTTTTTTTTATAGTCCGTGTTGTATTTGTAAATATTTCATTTACTGCAATCTAGACTAGGAATACTTGTGTATAAATTCCCGTGCATATGATAAATTCTACTAGACTAGCTAAAGTACTGTACACCAAAGCAATCACATTTTCTGAAGACGACGACAGACCCATATTATTCATTTACTATATATATCTTAGATCTTTTAAAAATGCGTCGCAAAGATTTTCTTTTTCTTTTTTAATTGCTTCTGGTAAGTGATATATTAATTTGAAATTACGACAGACACAAACAGATTAACAGAGTTTGACGTTGCCAAGCGCACAAATCCAAGCAGAATACTTAATGACGTCATTGTTGTCCAATGAAAAATAAGTATGAAAAAGAATGGGAAATATGATTATAAAACTATTAACCGGGGTAATATGCTTTGAAACTATTGACTGGCAAATAGTCTGTGGAATGAAATAGCACAACTATTTCAGTATTTTTTTTTATAGAAAAAACATAATGAGGTATAATAATATTTACTCATCAACTGTAATTAGCTTTGAACTAGCTATAAGAACTCGGTGTCTTTTTGTTAATTGATTATATACTCTGTGCTGATCGTTTTGAGTGGAGCCCTCTCCAACTGAGTTTCACAATTTGTTCTTATGTTGTTTGCTATTTTATAACTTTTCCTGATTATGGGAGGGCTGAGTGCTCGCAAACATGATTAACCATGCACACTATTGATATTATTATCACAAGTATAAAGTGGCCCTTATTATTGGAAAGTTTTCTCATTGGTAATCATACAACATCTTCTTATGTTTTTAGAGTGGGGAGATTTTGCAATAAATCATGGTTTCACTGGCAAGCGATCGAACATACTACCAAGAGGTCACTGATAGAGTTTTGTGGACCTCAAAAGCTAAACATTTATATTCTTTAGGCATGAGGTGTATTTTTTTTAATATTGTTTAGTTTCGTTCAAATGAGTTGAATACAGGTCAGCACATTCCGGAAGCAGAAAAAGGCGTCTTTAACATTGATATTTCTGTAATAGAATATAATTATGAATAAAGAGAGATTTGAGGTTTTTAAAGTCAATGAGAAAGCAACCCAAACGACTAATAAAAACCAACAGACATAATTTCAGATTAGACATGACTATCTTTATATATGAAACGCTATCTCTGACCATAAGTCACCCACTTTTTTAGCTCACCTGGCCCGAAGGGCCAAGTGAGCTTTTCTCATCACTTGGCGTCCGGCGTCGTCCTTTGTCAGCGTTAACTTTTTACATTTTGAACTTCTTCTAGAGAACAACTGAATGGAATGAAACCAAACATGGCATGAATGTTCCTTATGAGGTGCTGACCAAGTGTTGTTACTTTGTAGCGGATCCATCATCCAAGATGGCCGCCAGCGGGGGACTTAGGTTAACATAGGACCCTATGGGAAATGCATACAAATGTCTTCTTTTAGAGAACCACTGAATGGAATGAAACCAAACATGGCATGAATGTTTCTTATGAGGTGCTGACCGAGTGTTGTTACTTTGTAGCAGATCCATCATCCAAGATGGCCGCCAGCGGGGGACTTAGTTTAACATAGGACCCTATGGGAAATGCATACAAATGTCTTCTTTTAGAGAACCACTGAATGCAATGAAACCAAACATGGCATGAATGTTTCTTATGAGGTGCTGACCAAGTGTTGTTACTTTGAAGCCGATCCATAATCCAAGATGGCCGCCAGCGGGGGACTTAGTTTAACATAGGACCCTATGAGAAATACATACAAATGTCTTCTTTTAGAGAACCACTCAATGGAATGAAACCAAACATGGTATGAATGTTCCTTATGAGGTGCTGACCGAGTGTTGTTACTTTGAAGCCGATCCATAATCCAAGATTGCCGCCAGCGGGGGACTATGTTTAACATGGGACCCTATGGGAAATACATACAAATGTCTTCTTTTAGAGACCACTGAATGGAATAAAAGCAAACATGGCATGAATGTTCTTTATGAGGTGCTGACCAAGTGTTGTTACTATGAAGCTGATCCATAATCAAAGATGGCCGCCAGCAGGAGACTTAGTTTAACATTGGACCCTATGGGAAATACATACAAATGTCTTCTTTTAGAGAACCACTGAATGGAATGAAACCAAACATGGCATGAATGTTCCTTATGAGGTGCTACCGAGTGTTGTTACTTTTAAGCCGATCCATAATCCAAGATGGCTGCCAGCGGGGGACTTAGTTTAACATGGGACCCTATGGGAAATACATACAAACGTCTTCTTTTAGAGAACCACTGAATGAAATGAAACCAAACATGGCAAGAATGTTCCTTATGAGGTGCTGACCAAGTGTTGTTACTTTGAAGCTGATCCATCATCCAAGATGGCAGCCAGCGGGGGACTTAGTTTAACATAGGACCCTATGGGAAATACATACAAATGTCTTCTTTTAGAGAACCACTGAATGCAATGAAACCAAACATGGCATGAATGTTCCTTATGAGGTGCTGACCAAGTGTTGTTACTATAAAGCCGATCCA